GCATCCACTCTGTGCCGGATGCTCGTTGTTTTGGAACGTTCGGCCCTTCCCAGAGACGGCTCCAAGCTGTCGTGGGCCTCCAACTAGACATGGGCAGGACGAAGGTGGCAGAGGAGGGCATTTCCATTCGCTCAATGATCCTTTCATTCCTGCCTGTGTTCGGGCAGCGTGCTGAGCCTCTGTGTGTGCTGGTCGCTGTCCTAGGTACCGAGAGCCCCGCAATGAACAAGAGAGGCAGAGAGCCTGCCCTCTTAAAGCTGCTTTCAGTGAGAGGTGAGGGAGTTTGCCAGCTGAGGCGAGGAAGGGCATTCTAGGCAGAGGGAACAGCGTGTGCGAGGGCCCGGGGATGTGACAGAATGTGTATGGGTGTGAGTGGGCGTCTGTGGCATTCAGGCAGCATTTGGTGGCTGGGGGTGGCGATTGCCTTTCTGGAAGCACTAAAAGAAAACACTGATTGTGAGGGCTTGCTAGGGACTGACCTCACCCCTGGGGCCACCAGGTTCTGCCCCTCCTCCACCCATCCCTCCCCAGCCCCGCCTCCAGCAGCCCTGGGTTGCCCTTCAGAGGCATAGATGGTGCCCATTGGCCCCCTGGCTGGTTCATTCCTTCTCCAGGCTCCCACATGGGCCCAGTTTGCATTCTGTCCTGCAATGTCAGTGAGGGGACAGGTCCAGGTCTCAGTGGGCTCCGCCTCCTCCCTGCCCCTCGCCTGCAGGGGAAGGCTCAGGAGAGGATGCTGGGGTGCTGACTTGCGTGCCTCGTTTAGGGAATAAGGTTGGCGTGCTGGAATGTTGTCCAGCGAGCACAGCACTGCTGCGTGTCAGGCCCTGGGTGCTTGAACTCCATGGGGTTTGGACCTGCCCACAGGGAGCTTGCAGGACCCGGGGGGAGACAGGTGCTCCAGTGGGTCCCCATGGTTCAGCACCACCGCCTGGGGCTCTCTGATGGGTGGAAAGGCCCCAGAGAGGCAGGGACCACCCCCTGCTTCTTCCACTTCTGCTGCTGCCCACCCCCAGCCCAGGTAATTAAAAAAAAAGCAACATATATATATATATATTTTTCCAGCTTTTAAACCTTTTTATGGAAATATAACATCCATGCAGGAAAGTGTGCATGCCACACGTGTACTTGCTTGTTGACTTTTCTCCAACCGAAACGCCTGTGTAACAGAACCCAGATCAGGTCTGAGATCCTGCTGGCTCCCTAGTGCCCCTCTTGCTTGTCCTTCCAGTCAGTACCCCTGACCCAAGGGGGACCCCTTCCCTGATTTCTGGTGCTATCAATAAAGGTGGTCTGGCAACTTCATTTTTATTTATTTGTTTGCTTATTTATATTTATGTTATTTATTTGTTTATATTTAAGTAGGCTCCATGCTCACTGTGGGGCTTGAACTCACGACCCTGAGATCAAGATCTGAGCTGAGATCAGGAGTAGGAGGCTTGGGGCGCCTGGGTGGCTCAGTCGTTACGCGTCTGCCTTCGGCTCAGGTCATGGTCCCAGGGTCCTGGGATCGAGCCCCGCATAGGGCTCCCTGCTCAGCGGGAAGCCTGCTTCTCCCTCTCCCACTCCCCCTGCTTGTGTTCCCTCTCTCGCTGTGTCTCTCTCTGTCAAATA